AAATGTAAGAATGTAAAAACTGTGCTTCTTAGAATTAATGAAACACAATAACTTCCTTTGTTACCTTGAATAAAACAAAATCCTTCCAGGGCTTCAATTTCCACTAACAATAATAGCTACCTATGCTGAATACCTATCATGCTGGGCATTTCACATCTCACTTAACTTTTACAAAAAAGCAAAAAGGCAGGCATTAACCTTGTTCTACATACATGAAATATGAGGCTCAGAGAACCTTAGAACTTGTCCAAGATTACCCAGCTAATAAGTGACAGAGCTGGGTTTCAATCTCTTGTCTATCTTCACAGTCTTTATTCTTTACATCACTTCAGTGGTTCTCAAAATTTCGTGCATCAAATAATCCCCTCAGATGATTCTTCCAGATTAGGAAAAATATGCAAATACATATATTTTCAAATCATACAGCTAATAAATGTATACACACACACACACACACACGACTCTTACAACTCAAAAAAAGACAAATAACCCAACTGAAAAATGGGAAAAGGATTTGCATGGACATGTCTCCAAAGAAAACATACAAATGACCAATAAACACATGTAAAAATGCTCAACATCATAAGCTATTACAGAAATATAAATCAAAGCCACAATATGATACCACTTCACACCCACTAGAATGGCTATAATCAAAAGACAAATAGTAAGCACTAAGGATGTGGAGAAACTGGAACCCTCATACATTATTGCTAGTGGGAATATAAAATGGCACCTCCACTTTGGCAGACAGTTTTCAAGTTCCTCAAAAAGTTAAACATAGAATTACCATATAACCCAGCAATTCCACTAGTAGGTATTTACACAAGATAAATGAAAACATATGTTCAAACAAAAATCTGTATATGAATGTTCAAAGAAGCACTATTTATAATACCCAAAAAGTCCATCAAGTAACAGATTAATAAAATGTGGTGTTTTAGTCCATACAATGGAATATTATTCAGCAATGAAAAGGAATGAAATACTGATGCTATAACATGGGTGACCCCTGAAAACATTACGTTAAGTAAAAGCCAAGAACAAAAGTCTACATACTGTATAATTCCATTTATATAGACCCCATTTCTAGAGAGAGAGAAAGTAATTGCTTCAGATTAGAGTTGACAGGAAGTAACTGCTAATAGGTACAGTTTATTCTATGGGGGACAAAAATGTTCTAATTAAAGTGTGGTGATGGTTGTACAACCCTGTAAATATACTAAAAAAATTTTAAGTGGGTTAATTGTATGGTATGTGAATTATATCTCAATAAACCTAATTTCTTAATACCCTCTAGATCAGATTATTTCTAAGGTTCCTTTCTAGATATAACAGTCTATAAGACAAACATCTGAGAGCATCCATAAAGAGCCTTCAGAATCCAATCCCCAGTGACTCCGACAAACCTGTAGTTTAGAGAAGGTGACATATAATTCCTCACTTGAGGTCACTAGACCTGGAGGTGTCTACAAAGGAAGGACAGATGCTTCCAGTTTCAATTTTTCAGAAATTCTATGAGAAACCATACATTCAGCCTTTCTGAGGTAAAGTTTTAAGTATCTTTTCCTTTCACTGGACTCATACTAGTAGTTTTAAAATATGGATTCAAAGATGATGGACAGCTTAATGTATGAAAAATGAAAAATAAAAGAAATTATGAATTAAAATATACTTTTGACAGGCAAAAAGTTTCAAAAATAGGGACCCATGAAGTGTTCCTTATTTAAAAGCTTAGGAAATGCAGATATAGAGAAAAGTGCTCTAATCTAGAAATTAGAAGAAACAGCTGTATTTCAACATGATTCACTTCATCTTACTGTGCTCTCAGTTTCCATTTTCATGTATAAAATCAACAAATGTGATAATCCACCTGACTCTCAAATTCTATAATTTTTCTGCTACATAATAGTCTCCTAAAAATACCTGCTAAAAAAGTTCTTTATACCCTGGGTCCCTGCAAAAAACTTTCTTTACTTAGTATATCATAAGAATAAAAGATACTAAATATATAAGACTAATATACAATACATAGGCTGAGGTACTTAGAAACTGATTTATAAGTGGCCTTAGAAAGCAAAGATAGAAAATAATAACAAACCAAAAAGAAAATAAAGTGTGTTTGTCTACTGCTGACAGAAAAAATCAACAGGAAACAGTATGAAATCTCCCCAAAGCATGAAATATCCCTGATCAACAAATGAGTTGTTTTTCCTTCTCATATTTTACTCCTAATACACCAGCTTCCAAATGCATCCCTAGAACAAATGGACTGAAGGGGAAAAGAGCAAAGGAAAAAAAACTGTATCATAAAAACTCTTCTCTGTCTACTACTAATTTCCTTATATTAATAAAAAGCTATTTGTACTTTTTTTACTGAATTCATACTAACTTAAATTGAGATTATCACTGGTTGGGGGAGCACAGGTAAGGAGTGCTGTTTGTGAGATTTCAGGAAGGAGGGTAGTAGCCTCAGAAAAGAAAAAGTAGGCATGCTACATTACAATATAATACATATGAAAACCAAATTCAGAGATTTCTAATCAACTTTTTAAAGGTCATTTCACTTGCTAGGACAGAAAAGCCAGATTACCTTCCTCCTCAAGCAACCAAAGTTATCATGAATACCAAGTAGACAATTTTCAACCTCCAATTTATTATTATCATTAAAAAAGAAAAAAGCCAATCAGAAACCTAAATTCAAGGTTTAGGAGGTAATACAGTATTCTGCTCACAACTCCATAGGATTCATGCCATTAATTTAATACAAAAATCCATTAATCCTTGGAGCACCAACGATCTCTGTATTTACATATTATATATAAATACAGATTTATTCTACATCAAATACCACACTATATGTCCACATGAATCAAAGTATAACACAAGCTCCAGCAGACACCACTGTAGCCCCTTACAAAGGAAGATTATAAGCCTAAAAACAAAAAAGGTGCATTTACATATAACCAGTTACATTCATTTAACAATCCTGCCAGCCTAAACAAAGGGTACAAACATAGAAAAATCAGTAAGACTTAGCCCCAACTTCAAGGAATTCACATGAGGGAAGCCAGAAGCGTGTGCAAAATCAAATTCATTCAGTTCACAGAGAACAACAAACTTGCAAAAACGTAGTGGTAACTAGAATTCACCAGGTGAAAAAGTGAGAAGAATGGTATCAACAGGCAATAAGAGCAGCACAAATGCATAAATGTAGAGCACATTTAGATAATCAGAAGTTCAAAGCAGCCAAAACAAGGGGAATAAGGAGGAAGGATGCTTGAGCATAAAATAGTAGTTAATTAAGCCAGGAAAGGAAGCTTGCAGCTAGGCTGTAGAGGGCCATATATGCTATGACAGTGTTTCATCTTTATTCAGAAGGCCACAGAGAACCTAATACAGAATAAATAATGCTTTTAGAAAGCTAACTGGTGACCATCCGGAAGACAGATTTAAAAGGAAAGGTTGTGGGGTGGAAGATACGATAACACTACTGCAATAATTGAAATATTACTGCAATACGCAAGTGAAATGTGATGGGGTCAACAATAATAAAAACAACTGAACAGCATGGACTGTGTGTCCATATACTTGATCGTAAGTTGTACCAAGGTATAAGCAATGGCAGGGAAGAGAAAAGCATACAAACAAAAAGTCTTTAGAAGGTATAATCAACAGAACTTAATGACCATCAACCATCCATCCTGCAAAGAGGATCCTCGCTTATACACTTCACTTCCTAAACTGCTTCTGATAATTCATTACTTTTAAATAATTCTACTAAGATATCTTAGTTCACTTAATAGATGTTAAAAACTGAATTTTTAACAATAAGAAGAGTTTCAAGTGTCTTGCACAATTATTTAAGTCTAAAATTTTCTCTGTGGCTACAAGAAAAACAGAAAGAAACAAATACATTAGTAAAATAGAGTATTTTTCAGTTAGGAAACAATAATCTCGGTACATCCAACTTTGGATAAGACCATTGATATGCTTTATAAAACCTTGAAAAGACAAGTATAATACAGTAGAAATACTGATAAATAGCACCTAAATAAATCAAATATGGGGAAGGAAAAAAACTCTTTAATTTTAAAATCTTTGGTCTCCAAAAAATCCAGCTTTCCAAACACAAATAATTTTAGGGTTAACAACATACAGTTAATATTTTTCATGAAACCAAAGTGAGTTTGTCAGCCACAGGAAAAATAGGCAACTGATGAGGCTTACAGACCCAATTCCAATTTGATAAGTGTTACTAAAGGGAAATAAGAATTGCAGCCACTCTGTTTCAACATGCAAATCATCTTCCATCCTTTACTAAAATATGTTTGTTGAACTGTCAGTTTGTATTATAGGACTGTTAAATAAAATAGTGGCATTTATTTCAATTAAAATTAGTCATGCTTTCCTATGTAAAGAAAGATACTGATTTTCACAATGACGGCAACATGTCTTATCTAATAAATTCAAAGTTATTTTGATTATGAATATAAGTAACTTTAATGATAAAATATGATAAATACATTTCCCACTAATTTAATGTGCAAAGGCAAAGTTATAATTTGTCATGTTCTAACAAATAGAGCTAGTATATACTCATCCGAGGTTGACTGGCTCACCCCCAGATATTAACCATTAACCAGGCGTGTCAGTTTAAAAATATGTTTGAAATCGTTAAGGTCAATAAATGTTGACAATTTAGCAGGATGATTGTTTAAATAAGAATTTCTACTTCGATGATTATAATTTAACTGATACACTTTTAAACCTTATTTTTTTCATAACAGTATGTGTACATTATAGATTCCCCCCACTAAAGGGAAAAAAGTTTGTATTGTGTTAGTTCCAGTTATAAATTCTAGCTGAGTCAAAGTTCTAACAGTCTTAAAGCAGGAAATCCAAAAGGAAATTCCATCATCAGTTCCTGGGGCTTGGTAACTCAAAGGTTCTTTGAAACAGAGATACAGAAATTCTCAAACTATTTACTATAACCTTACCTCATATCTTCAAGCAAATCACATTCTGCTTGATGTTTGGCTTGAAGTTTTGTCATCTGCTCAACTTGAATGTTTTTCAGTTCTTGTGTAACTTTCACCTAAAATATACCATATATTTATGAATGCCTTACTTCAACTACAACAAAAATTACTAAAGGAAAATAGTTAATACTTGTCAGAATATAGCTCCCACTCACTTCTCCCTTTAAGACCACAAGTTTATTATTAGTCACCTAATTTTGTTTGCTGAAGATACTTAATGAAAAACTAGCCAAATAACCTGAAACAGAGGCTAAATGAAAGTGCAGGAGTATAAAAATTAGTTAAAGAGGTGCAAAATAAACTGCCAGTTATTCCATATCATGCACAAGCTCTGCACATTATCTAGGTCTTAGAGTTTTAAGAGTATGTCTACTATTTCTTCCAGAAAGGATTCAGTCATTAACAACCAGGAGAGGTGAGCAGAGTGTAGACAGGAAAAAGGAGCATAAGAATACTTAATATCTCATGACCGAAATTAACACAATCATGAAATTACATGCATGAATCGACTACATAAATTATTCCATAATGGCTGCGAGAAAGATGCACTGTCTCAGGATAATGCCCTCGACTGGCTGACAGCGCATCAAATCACAATCTCTTTCTCACAAAGGAGAAAGCAAAAGTGACCTTCCAGCATATGCAGTGCTTTTTAAACCACTCCAGCAAGCCGGACCCGTGGCGGGTCCACTTCAAAACGGAACAGCAGTGCCCCGCCCGCCAGGCCCGGACCCCCAGGGTTCCAGGTTACCGTGGGCCTGGAATCCCCGCCACCAAGGCAGGGCAATCCAGAGTGATGGGGGTACGTGTGTGAAAGAAAAAAGACTCACTTAACTGGAGAAACCCGGATTAAGAAAGAGAAAGAAGAGGAGGAAGCAGACACGAGTGAGTTAGGCATTCAGCAAATGTTTGCCCACGAGGGGAGGGCAGAACAGCCTCCTCCACCCAGCGCCCAGAGTAGATACTCAGTAACCATCTGCAGGATTTTAAAAAAAAGGACACAGCTTCAGCCTCTGGGAAAGCTGGGAAAGAAGGCAGTGAAACAGTTCTCGAAGGGTGTATCAGGAAAGCTACTGACAAGCCGGGAGCACCCGTCACTCCCACCCCAAGCCGCGATCTTGGTGCACACGCTACGCACTGCTCGGTTCTCGCTCTCCCGGGGACACCACCACTGTCTCCTCGTCCCCAGCCGGAGAGGCGGGGCAGAAAGAGATCAGGGAGCTAGGCGGGCCGGTCAATGCTTAATTTGTTTTCCCCTGGGGTGGAGGGTGGTGACTATTTCAACTTCTTTTCGGCCGCCCCGAGGGAAAAGCAGGCCAAACCTTACGGCTAGACTGGAAACAAATTCCCTGCAAATTTGCAAAGGGGCGAGGGTGGCGACAAGCAGCTGGAGGGCTCAAACCTGGTGCAGACTAAACAATCACACACAAGCACAAGGCTCTACAAAGCTGCTGGGTCTCGCCCACCACTCCTCGGTGCAGCCCCGAGAATGCACTTTGCAGCAAGGAGAACTGCCATGCGCGCGCACACACAAATGCACACCCGAAACTCTTGTGAAATGTCTGGGGGTCTCTTGCGCGGTAGAGGGGCCGAGCCCTGCAGCCCGTCTGTGGGAAAGGCACCTCACCGGCGCGTCCCCGGCCTGGAGTTGGAGGCAACTCCGTGACAAGCCCGAGACCACGGTGGTCACGGCCCCTTGCGGAAAGGGGGAGGAGGCGCAGCGGTCGCCCCAGCAATGTTCCCTTAACGCATTCCCCCAAAACCTCTAAGCCCTCCTGCCAGCTGCACCCTCACCTTCCTCGGCGGTGGCTGCATGATGCTGAAGGGACATCAATCCTCCCCCGAAGGCGGGTTAGCCAGGACGAGGAGGAGTTGGAGGGCCGAGAGGAGGGGACGGCCTCGCGGTAGTGCGGGCGTGTCTGTGCGGAGAGCCTGAGAACGAGGACTCGCGCCGGAGAGAGCAAGGGCGGCGGGCGGCAGGAGGAGCCCCGGGTCGGAGAGCGAGTGTGAAGGGGAGGGGGAGGAGCGCTGGGAAGGCCAGGGCTCGCGCGGCCCTGGGGGTGTGTGAGGGAAGGAGGCGGAGACCGCGAGGGGGCGGGGGCCCGGGAGCTGGGACGCGGGGTCTCCCAGCTAGCCGAGCGGCTCTCGAGGAGCTGCCGCGTTGTCCGGCTCCCCGCCCGCCGGCGGCTCGGCTGCTCCTCGCAGACGTGGTCCCCCTGCCCGGATTCAGGCAGCCCGGCCCTCGCTGGGCTCAACGCCCCCGCCCGGCCCTAGGAGGTGGAAAGCAGTGCCGCGCTCTCCGCTGCGGCTCCTTCACTCGGGCCGCCGCGGGAATTTCCGGCCTCACGACACAGCGCAGCGCCCCACTCAGGCAGCGGAGGGGACAGCTCAGACCGCAGCCGGATTCGAGGGACGGAGCCAGCTGAAGGGAGGGAGCGTGGCGGCGGCGCGGGACTCCGTATCGCGGCGGGAGACAGGGGGAACTAACGGAACGGTCGGCGAATAGGCGGAGTGGAAACACTAGGGGAGGACAAAAAAATACCCCCCGTTCTCTCCAAGAGTGGCACGTTCCAAACACCTCCCATCCTCCTTCCTCCACACTGGGAGCCAGCCGGGGGCTTCCCGCGCGCTTTCCCGCCTGCCTGTCGCGACGCGCGCCTCCGGCCGGGGGCGCGCACGTGGGCGGGAGAGGGCTCCGCGCCGACGCACGCGCACAAGCCGCCCCCGTCTCCAGCCAGTTCCTGTGGCTGCCGTGTTGATGTGTGTATGTCTGTGCAGGCGGACGACACTCCGAGTGAAGCTTTTACAGTGGGGAGGGGGCAGCACGCCTGTGGCAGTAGGAGAATCCCGGTTTGGCTGTTTCTCGGTCATCTAACACTTCTCGATCCCTAGCGGATGGGTCATCTAACACTTCTCGATCCCTAGCGGATGGGCCGGCCACATAGACGTGCCTGAAGTGGGAGAGCACAGACTAGTTCTTCCGCAGGCGCCTGCAGGTGCTTGACTATGCGGGGCAGGGGCGGTGAAGGGGAGATCCTAGCTCTCTGCTACAGCGCATTCAAATTAAGAGCCTGGACTCTGTGCTGCAGGAAACCGGGAGGTCGTTAAGGCCAAGGCCTCCATTTCACAGATGGGAATGCTAGTGCCATTAGAGGAGCGGAAACTTTCTGAAGGTCACACAGCAGTACTTGAATATCTGGGCCACAAAGAGTTCAATGGATTATAAAGAAACAGGTACAGATGATAACCATGAGGAAAAGTCGAGGAGGCAGCTCCCTTGTCTGGGAGTCAGGACCTGGATGCTAGTCCACAATGCTGTTCCTGGACTGGCTGTATGATATCAGGCTTCCTGATGAGCCTGGGAGAATGCTCATCTAGGCATCTCCTGCCCCACCTTTCTGCTCTGTCCAAACCATCTGGGGGTAAGGGCACCAGCCTACCTTGGAGTCCTTAGAAGAATGAACATACCTCTTCACAAGCTAGGGGGCTGTGTGGAGTGTGAACTAGATCTATCCATTATTTTATCAGAATTTGGAGTCCCAGACACCTGTTCTCAGAAGTGTAGTCAGGCAAAAGAGAAAAGTGAGTGAGGTCTGGAGAGATCCAAGTAATTAGCCCAAGGCCACATGGCCAGAAATTGGAAAGATGAAACTTGAACCCATGTTAGCCTAGAATCTTGTACAGGAAGGTGATAGAATCAGCTGTGCTTGAGTCAGATTATTCTAGACCTGTGTGTGAACTGAGAGACCAGGCATGCTATTTTTGGTTTCCTTGAGGCCATTCAAACATTAGCCTGCACCAGAGTCCAGTTACCATCAGGGAAGGCCTGAGAACAGGTGGGCAGAGGCCCAGCCTCCCTTATAACTGTGGGGCAGCCTCTAGAGCTCAGGCCAGAGGTAGCAAGGCAAGCTCCGGTCCCAGCTCCACACTTCACTGTGAGGCCTTAAGCTAGTCAGTTCACTTCTTGCAGGCTTTATTCCCTCACTTGTAAAATAGGGATATAATACCAACCTCACAGGTTTGTTTTATTAAATATAAGTTCTCCTACCACAAGGCCTAGCACATAGTGCTTTAAAAATGCTCACTGATTTATCATTCATTCAAAAAATATTTGCTGAGGTCCTGCTTTGTGCCAGACTCTGGAGACACAAGAGTGAACAAGACAGTATCAGCATAGGCCATCACCAAGACTGAGTTCCAGACCAACCATTCTATTAATAACACTGGCCTAGAGCGGGAGGATAAACAGTGCTTTCCCAGATGCAGTGTCCTGTACATAGAAGGTACTTAACAAAGATTTGCTGCATCCCAGACTTGAGTGCAACTAGTCTGGCCCAGAGATTATGCTCCCTTCATCTTCTGTCTCTGGAAATGAGCACTAAGGGTATAAAAGTGCTGGATGTCGAGAGACTTGGGATCTAGCCTCTGCCACTGACGGCACTGACTTTCTGGAATGATTTCTTTTCAAAGTGTTTTAAAAAGCTAAAGGGCAACACCAGATAGACTTACCTGCTAACTTTTTTTTTAATGTGGCTTTTTAAAAAGTGTGCTTAATATTTGCCAAGTGCCTTTTCCAAACCCCAAACTTTCATATCACTTTTCTGAGCTAATCTTCACTGTAATCCCATGAAAGAGTATTATTTTCTTCATTTTACAAATGAGGAATCAGAGGTTCAATGAAGATAAGTAACTTGGCCTGGAGTGATAGATTTTGGACCAGAACCCAGTTCTCCCATTTGCCTCTATTAGGAATGTTGAAAGGAATTGGGAAAATTGAGCCAGGAAAAAAGCAGACTCAGGAGGATACAATGCATATGATCCTAACTCCACAGGGATGGGAAAAAGAATTTCTGTGACTTATGTAAACCTGACTTAAAATGTACTCCTTTGAAGCAAGCTGGGGACTCCCAAGGCCTTGCTCCTGCCCTGCAGGCAAGCACTGTTACCAGTAAGATCTCTTGAGATTCTTTGAGGGAAATACCACAGAACTGTCCTGTAGCCACAGAGCAGCATGCACTCTGGCTGGCCCCAGAGACAAAACAGGTCTCAGCTGCATCTAAGGATAGAGGTTTTCCAGTCAGAGCTGCCCTAGAGGGGGTGAACTCTCCCATTCCTGGGGCTTTGTGAGCAGGTGCTGGCTCCCTTCCATGAAGGAGCCCATAGATGGGATTCTCACCCTAGGAAGAGAGTATTAATATAACAGCTACCATTTATTTCACCTCTCTGTCTTTAAGGCATTGAATTAGGCACATTATTTACATTGTTTCTAACCCTAGCAACAATCCTTCATGATACATATGACCCCATTTCACAGATTTCAGAGACCGAGGCTCAAAACTGAAATGACCTTCTCAAAGTCACATGGCTAGGACAAGAGAGCCAGGCCTGGCCCCTGGCTCCCTCTGGCTCTGAAGCTGTGCTTTCCCTCTAGAGTGTGCAGTGCTGCACAGTCTTCCAGAAGGAATGTAATTCTAAGTTTAAGTCAGAACCAGGATTGAAAGCTCTCCTGGAGCACATATCTGAGTGGGCTTTGGAAGACGAGCTATTTCAATATTCTACAGAGCTCGCAGGAGAAACCCCATGAGACAAAGTGTGCCCTTGAGCATGCCTAGAATGTAAACAGCACCCCGTCCAGAGTGGCACCCAGGACAGGTTGGCACTCCATCCAGGCTCTCTCCAGAGAAGGTGACCACCTTCCCATCCGCTCATCTGTACCAAGGCACTCCCCTAGCCTTCCCACAGTTGGGATTCACAGCCCCCTCTCCTTCCTTTCCTGCTCTGTCTTTATTCCCACTCACATTGGCACAGGTTGCTCAGGACTGCCTGTCAGCCCATCCAGGTGCCAGCTATTCCCTGCCTGAAGGACAGAGCCTAGCTGGGGATGCTCCTGCCAACAATGCAATCTGTAGACCCCACCCACACTTTACTCCACCCTCTCTGCCTTCCCCCCTCCCCCTCAGACACACTCTTGTCTTTGCTCCTGCCTGAGCCCTCTGGTCAACCTAGTGTGGTAGTGTGCCTGTCTCCTCTACTGGTCAGCTCTCAAGACAAAACCACACCCACGAGAATGAGGCTTTAAGATCAGTGACTACCAGAAGAGGGTAAGGGCTCTTCCTAGGACACAAAGTGAGTTTGTGGTACAACTAGAGCTTGAATTCCATCCCGCATCACTCAACAAGACCCTTATTTTGGGCTCAGTCATAAGCAGGTCTCTGGGGCCTGGGGCCCTGTACTTCAGGAGCTCCCAGTCTCAACACATGGACCAAAGGTCACAGCAGTAAGTCCAAGACATGCAGAGACAGGAGAGTCATAGGGACCCAGATTCCACCAGGTATATCGGGGTTCTAAGGCCAGAGGTGAGTTCCTGATGGGCAAACACTGGGGCAAGGAATTATCTGGAGAGTTGGTGTCCCTGCCAGGGAGTGTTACAAGTTGGGGTAGGGATGAGGGGACAGCCACTCCCAGGCTATACTAGGAACTGGCAGTCACATGGTTGACATCAGGAGGCAAGACACCAAGGTTCTAGTCCTATCTTTTCCAGGCACTTGCTGAGTGTGATCTCTGGCACATCACAAGTTCTGTCTTGTGTTTCTCCTAGGAGGGTGGTTCAGGCTAAATGTAGTAACAGGTACATTATCTATAAAGGCTCAAGAGCTCCATAAGCAAGTGACTACCCATCCTGAGCTACATCAGGGAAGGCTGAGTGACTGCCTATGTGGGATGCTGATGAAGGCCTTCCCACTGGGAGCTGCACTATGAATACAACTCTGTGACACTAAGGCCCCTGGGTTAAACAGGTTTGGGTGAGATTTGGGATCAGTCAAACCTGGCCTGGATGTCCAGTTCATCCTCTATCTAGACTTTGTATTCTTGACCCAGTCCTGAAGTCTGTTTTCATCTGAGTTCCATTGTCTGTAAAAGGGAAATAATGTTTTTTTTACACTGTTGAGTGGGAATTAAATGTGATGTTTATATACAATGCCTGCAACCATGCTGGCCCACAAATATGAGTTTCCTTTGTGCTTGCATGTGTTTTCCTTCAGTTTCCCTTCATTTTGTTCTGGTTTTGTTTGTAAATTTTAAATTGCACAAAGAGGAATCGCCATGGGAGGAGGCTGAGCCCAAGTATAGTCCTTGTTTTGCCCCTGATTCACCATAAGGACCTGGGAAGTCCCTGTCCTCCCTCAGCCTTCATTTCCTCATCTGTAGCTCAGGGGATCCCACCAAGGCCTTTCTCCAAAGCCCAGCCTGGAAGGCATGGGATACCACCCATGTGTGAGCCATGAGGTCACCCTCTAGGCTGAGCTGGGGGATGGTGTTAGGCAGGGACCAGGGGAGGGAGATGGAGTTGTGGGGGAGGCACAGCTCTGTAACCACCGTGCACTGGCCTGTAAAGAGAGCAGGCCCCCTCAGTTTAGGAAGCCTATTGCCTGTTTTCCTATGGCATGCCCAGTTAATGCCAAAACAAAACACACTTGCTCCCTGCCAGAGGGCAATGGGCCAAAATGAGTGTCCTGCGGGGCTGGCAGATGTCCTGGCATCCTGCCTCTCCTCTCCTCCTTAGGCACCCACCCTTCCCCTGTCTGCAGCACATCCACACACCCATGTCCTGTGGCCTGGATGAGCTGAACAACACCCTCAGCCAAAGCTGGCCCAGTGTGTGGAGAGGAGCTTCCCCAAGACCTGCACTTCCCTCTCTTGTTTTTAGCCCTCCCAAATGGACACCTCCAGCACCTAAACCTGCCTGTTTTCCCAGTCCAGCCTTGGCCCCGAGATGTGATCTAATTCTTGC